TAGATCATAACCAAGCTCCAGAATCTAGCAAGAACAAGGGAAAGATAAAGTTGTTGAGTAGCCAGACATCATTACATTCTATTAGCGAGGATTATCAGGTGATTACATTTATTGTATTTATTTGAGATGAAAAAGATTCGCAATGATTCAAATTAGAATGTTTTAATTTAATGTATGTTTTATGGTTTTCAATATGTTTTCATTGCATAAATGAAATGCATAACAGTGCATTAAAGGCATGAAAGAATGCCATAAATGAAATGCATAACAGTGCATTAAAGGCATGAAAGGATGCCATAAATGAAATGCATAACAGTGCACTAAAGACATGAAAGGATGCCATAAAAGAAATAATGAATAATTACTAAAGAATAATGGGAAAAATGTACATAAAGAAAGGTATACAGGACAAACTAAGAATGTTTATGATGATAGTATGAAAGAAATATGGTTTAGATAATAAGAATTTATCTAATCCTATGGATAAAACGAATTATTTCGAAACTAAATAATCATGATATACTTATGTATACATTAATTTTTCTTATAATATTATGTCTCACTAAGTAACTATTTAACGTGTGTTGATTTCACGCATAGGTGAAGGCATAGATTAGCTAAGTAAGTAGTGCAGTAGTAGCAGCAACTATCATCAATTAAGGTTGACTCGTCAGTAATAATAGGATAATCTGGTTTATTTTGAAAAACTTAGTTGGCATGTAATTAAAGTATGAAAAATGCTCTGAATTGTATTTAAGTAGAACCTCGTAACAGATTCAATTAATGTTTTGTTGTATATAAAACAAATGTTATGTTTTAAGAAATCTAGAAATAAAATTTTATGGGTTTTCAAGTGATGAAATATTTTAAAAGTGATGTGACATTTGTATCTCATGTACGAAAAGGTATACGGGAGATGGGTGCTATCGTAGGCTAGAGGGTTGTGTCTACCAAGATGCATCAAAACCCTCCAACCACACCATGATGCCTACCTCAACATTGGTGTTTAGCATACTTGTATGTTTATGTCTTGCTTGTAGTCATGATCAAGAAATGAACGCACATATTATAGCTTAGTTGTTTAGTGTGACATTGAGCTTGTGAACTCAACATTCGGAATTTGTTTTCGTACACAGGTTTTTAGGAGGAGCGTCGAGGAGCTTATCGCACATCTAACTTTTCAGACCATTCAGAGTAGCAGAATATGTCTTGATTCATTTATTAGAGGTCATGTACTATTCATAGGCCTTCACGTATTTGAGTCGTAACTCTATTTTGAAATACTTAATTTGTAACATTTGGGATGCATTTTTAAAGCTCCCCGTATTTATAAACTTGAATGCTATGCTTTTATTTTATAACATTAGTGGATGGTTTTTACATGATGATTTACAAGTATTTTAAAGAAAACTTTTGAGTTATTTTTGTTCTAGTGATAGAGAAAAATAAGGTTGAGTTCGATTTGTTCATTGGTGTAGTGTTACATCCAGTGAACAATCGTTTTTGTGCCTTAGGAGATAGACATTCAATGTTGACATTCAATGTTCTGAAACATACATGTCTCAACAAATTCTAATTTAAATTATTTTTATATCTTCGGAGTTACCTTCGCCGTTGTCATATCCTCCGCTCAAGTTCCCTTGAAACCTCCAAAAGATCCTCCGTATATGTTTCCTTGGAATCTCCGCATAGATGATCCTCCACGAAAATTGATTCCAGAATTTTCTTGAAGCCTCGAACATATCCTCAATCGACTTTCAATTTCAAATTAATATTTTTTTGTACGATAAGATTATTTACGCTTAATTGGATTATTACAATATTTCTAAAATAATCCAATTCCAAGAGATAACAAAACGGGTCAGTCGGCTAATGACTAAGGTCCATGTGAGTTGGCATTACATTTGATACGAAAAGGAAGGAGAAACATTACTATACGTTCAATCATGTAAGAATGAAAGTGAGGAATCAGATTGAAAAGTAGAATTATTATTACAAAATAATGATAAGATCTTAAATAGTTCTCCCCTTGTTGACAAAACAACTAAAACATTTGTATTTCATGGTTATCCCAAGTCAATAGTGTAGAAATTTTAATAAAAAAAAATGTGGAGTATGGTCCAGGCGGTGATTAAATCAGCCATGCTTCAATTCAATAGGGTTGGTATGTCAAAAGAGACAATATAAATGTGATTTGGGGCTACCTTGTCCCCAAAACCCATGACAACAAACATCTTCTAGATGTTAGATGGCCTGGATTGTGATCATTTCTTTCTTAATACATAAATAAAATCTCATTCCATAAATAATAATAAAAAAAAACTACAGATGTTAATATTCGATTGTAAAATCAATTGAAACTCATCTATCAATAATTATTATATAAATAAATTGAAATAGACAAAGAAATTACTAATGCTTAAATTTCAACATTAAACTTATTTAATGTCACTTACAAAGATTATTAAATATATTTTTTAACATGAACTCATCAAGAAAATTATTAAATATTTTTTACATGAATTCATCAAAAAGATTATTACATATTTTTTTACGCGAATTCATCAAGTAGTTTCAGTAGTTAAAAAAATTGGTGTTCTTCTTAAAGTTTCTTAGTTCAAACAGTTGTGTATGTTTTGTTAATGGTTAACAAAAATTCTAAATAGGTAATACGTTATAACTGCTTTAGAATATTCAGAAACATATATATCCTTTTCTTCGCCCACCCTAAATAGGGGAAGGGGCCACATCTTTTGTTAGCTAATAGCGCGTATGGAATCAAAGGCTCATATGGTCCAGCCATAGGCCATGGGGGCTGGCCTGCATGGCATGCGAAAGCTGGCATGAATAGACACACAAATCTCATAAAATGACTTGAAGAATCCTTTAGAACAGATGATTGTTCCGTTTATGTTTTCTGGTCGGAGGCTATGAATGAGCCGAGGCTGTTAATACGAAGGGTTCACTTGCCATCATATTTAATGCAAAGAGTTCTTTTTAAGGTTAACTACGTAAAAAATTATAGCCCATATTTTAAATTGTCAAAAAATTCTGATTGGTTACAATTATTTTTTATTATTAAAAATATTTTTAAGCGTTTGCAAGTGTTCTAAAGATAATAGGCTTCGAAAAAAAATTCGTTAAAAATGATTTGCAAGTGTTTTGACAAACTCAAAATATTTTTGAAAGGTCAAAAACACTCAAATTAGTCTATTTTTTACTACTAGTTTTGAAAGCCTGAGTCAATATTAAACAAAATTTCCAATCTACCTTTTAGTTTTGATAACATAGTCTCGATTTTGAAATTGATCAATAGATTTTGAAATCCCCCCTCAACTTCGATCTTGTTGGGCTCCAATGGTTATTTTTTTTTTATAAAAAAAACATTGATCATTTTCAAAACTTATCATTTAATTTCGAAACTGATGTTATAGATGAGCATTTAATGCATAGTTTTAATGCTCCACGACGATTAGAAAACTTCTCCAATGACTAGAGGTGGCAAACAGGTCATTCAGATCGAGTTTGGGTCGGATTATTTCGGGTATAAATTATATTCAGTTTAATTTTGCTTGGGTCATATCGGATTTGATTCGGATCTAGTTCGGTGTACGGTAAATCGGGTCAAGTATCAGATCAGTTGTTTTTCGGTTCGGATCAATATCGGATTGGTTGATTTTTGGGTTGGGTCAATATCGGGTCGGGTCAATATCGGGACTGATCAATATTGGATCGGTAAATTTTTGGGTCGGGTTAACACCAATTTTTTAGATTTCGGGTCAGGATAATATCGAATCGGTTGATTTTCAGTTTGGGTCAATGTTTAGATCAGGTCAATTCGGGTTGAATTGGTTACGAGTCTAATCAAGTATATATATAATTATTGATATATTTTTGTAAAAAAAATTGTCTTCTTATTTGTTAATCTTATTATTTAGGGCCTAATTTCAATTCTCAATCATTCAATATTTTGAATTAAACAATCATTTATAGGTGATAAATCGATAATTTGACACAAATATGATCCTATAATGCGTGTTAAATTTTGTTATCAAAATTTTATATTGATTTTGTATGAAAAGTTTATCTATTTGATGAAGAAATAATTTTTTTATTAAAAAATTATATATTTTCAAATCTAATATTTTCAATCCTACAATAAGATTCTTCATTTTAGTTTGGGTTAATTTCCGCTCGGATTGATTTCAGGTTGGGTTAAATTCGGTTCCGGTTGCTTTTGGATCGGATTAAAATTTGATTCAGATTTCTTTTGATTTGGGCTAATTTCGATTCAGGTTGCTTTCGATTTCTCTAAATTTTAGATCAGATATGATTCGGGTCGGATATAGATCGAGTATCCTATCAAATTTGATTATCATGTTCGGGTTAATATCGAGTATTGGGTCAAGTAAATCGGTTTAGTTCAAATTCACCAGGTCCACCAATGACCCCAAACGACTAATAATCCATTAGAGAGGATAAAATAGACCTTATACCAGTCGAACAAAATTAAGAAAGTTATAATCTTTGAGCTAAAAATCCTATTTGTACCTAATTTTTCATTTTTTATTGAACACTATTACTCTTTGTTAAAATATTTTATTCTAATGTTCTTGAAGGTATAAGATAAATTTGCTCAAACACGTGAGAATTTATTTTGGAAAAAATATATTTGAAACTTTGGATATAAACTTTAAGAGATGTTGCTTGCTGTTGTATATTTTTGTAATTCTTTACAAAAAAATTCATTGAGTTTTAATAGTTGGCCTCATTTATTGATTAATTGACCCAACAGCAACCAATGAAATGATAGCATGAATAACTTGTTTGCATACTAAACTTTCATTAAACAAATTTTACAGAAGAGGATATCATAAGTTTGAGAAAATTATATAACCGAACCATAATGGATAACATGAAGGCAACCATTACCATCATGCTCATTGTATGACAACATACCACTATCAAAGAAATATGACGAGGCAAACCTATGAATTGAATTTTGCACTATAATGAATAGGATTCCAGAAATTCTAATACCACAAGAAAAGCAGATCCCAAATATTTTATCAAGGAGAATCATGTGCAGGACTATCGGAATGCATGTCCATGCAGTCATTGGGGCTGGGGGAATTGGCATCCCTATTTTGATGGTGAGGGTAGTTGCTTTCGTTATTGCGTTGTCCGTTTAGTGATGATAAAACATTGTTTGAATTGTAACCGCCCTGTGTCAAGTGGTAGTGCTGAAGGCTCCGGCGAACAGGGCTTGAGAGAGCATTCGAGAAAACCGAATTCTTACCTTGATTATCACCAGACCGAACTCCCTGCCCAGTAATTGCTGATGATAATGGATTGGAAGAAACATGAGCGCCTAAACTGTTCAACTGTGTTGGAGTTTGGGAATGCATATGCTGCAACGGCAGCCTAGGGGACATTGGCAGCTCCTCTCCTCCATATTCGAGCTCATTCTGCAAAACAAAATTATAGAAAATTTGAAGGCATAATCTCATTGAAACAAGAGTAGGTAGATCTATACATACAACAAAATTTGGAAAATGCAGATGAAGGAAAGAATTTATTCAAATGAGAAAGCTCAAGGATAGAAGGATGCAAGTTGAACAAATTCACAGGAACAATCTTACATTGGTAATGAGAAAATAGTTTTTCAGAAATTCATTTTTAGTCAGTTACCACATGATGTTTCCTCCTTTATACCCATATTTTCAAAATTTTATTTGGCAAGTACCTTATATCTACCACCAAGTTTCTCTGTTCCTCTCGTTACAGTATTTTTCTTACAGAATCATGCATACACCATAGACACGTCATCTCTATTTAGACGTGACAAACATGCATATTTCATAGATGCAGCATCTCTATACGGGAAAATGCATACTTCATAGATGCATCATCTCTATAAAGGCATATGCAAAATGCAAGCTTTTTTATTCTCCTACAATTCTATAACCTAACTTATTGCAAAGAAACCATAAAGGTTAATTGACTACTGCTACACGGCAGCCAATTATGGAAATATTAAGGGAATAAATTGGAAGCATTTGGCACTCAATCAAGGCCTAAGAGTGTCTAGAGGAAAGAAAACAAAAAAAATGATAGAAAAAAAATTATTAAATAAAAGTAAAATATAGAATACACTTAAATAATACATTTGAAACATTTAAATATATATCACCTATGGATTTCACAGTAAAATGTGTTTTGATCAGCTATTACTTCCATGATAATAGCATTAAGAAACAAAATATTAATTTAAATGTAGATGCTAAAATTAATTATACACGTATATATTGACTTCCTTCCACAGAAAAAACAACTTGTCTTCTAGGATAATTTACTTACATGCTTACTTGACTGAATTATGTAGTATTAGTAAAAATATTTTACTTCACAATATTATTTTTAAAAACAGAACAAATGAAAGAAAAAATGTGAAACATATAATAATAATACACTCAGTAAAGTAAAATATTTGGAATTTGTTTACTTATTTTATAATTAGTACGCTTATTTCATAAGTGATATAAAAAGCATGAAGATTGGAAAAGTATAATATTCAAAAGATTTAAAACCATCCAAATTGAGAACCAAAATGATATTCAAGTTTGTCTTTCATAGACTGAGCTCAGCAAAGTAAAACAATGCATGAATAAACTAAATTTGGAAACCTTAAACTCCTTTGGTCCTTTGAAGAAGGGAAAAAATAACTAAAATTAAATGGAATAGTATCGCCATCATATTATTTAAAATAGTATGCAAATAATAGGATTCAGGGACGTGAAGAAAGCATTTCAATTTCAAAATGACACTCGACTTGGCATAGATATGACAAAAACAAACCTACAAATAAGCAATTAAGATGTAACGACACTCAACACATTATAATCGTTGCAATTAAGTTTAATATTTTTCCGACTACATTTGCAATTAAGTTTATGTTTCTTCAAAAAAGCTATATATAAAACAAAAATCAAATAAAAATTTAAAAAGAAAATTCACGCAAAATTACAGATGATCAACACATTATAATCGTCACACGTAAAAGCAAAATTAAAAAGTTTTTCGCATGTGACATCCAAATTATGGCGATTTCATATTTTATTTAGGGTTATAAAAAAATGATCCAGATATTGAAATTAAAGAGATTAGATTTGATTAACATATCAGAAAATACGGGATGCAATAAAATTACAGGATTCATTCAAGAAGGAATAAAAATATTATTAGGGGAAAAGAAATAAGCAGGAGATGACAAAAACAAACCTGCAAATACGCAACTATATCGATAGTCGTTGCCCTTGAACCTTCTTCTTGCTGCCTCAGAATCCATTGATAGAGTTTCTCCTGGGAAAGGAAAACGCAGATCTATACTGTTAGACATGAAGTTAATACACAATGAAAATAAGTTCCATACACCAAAGCCACAAATGAATATAACTCAAAAATACAAACAAATGGCGTGTTTACACAGCAAATGTACTGTTGCAGTGTTTATTTAAAATGTAAAGCTCCATTATATTTGTCCCTTCAGTAACTTGCTTATCGCTAATCTAAAAAGCATTTGAATACCTTGAGCTTTTAAATGATAAAAAAAGGTCGAGCATTTACCCTACTTTAGGTTTTGCTCAACGCTCAATTACAATCAAGTAAAATTTTAATATATTTCATTTACCACAAACAGGAAGCAAATTAGAAGACCCAGTTCACTATTTTTCCGACTACATTTGCAATTAACTCATGTATCTTCAAAAAAAGTTATCTATATATCAAATCAAAAAAAGAAAATTCATACAAAATTACAAAATTACAGATGATCGACTCATTAAGATAAACAACACTCAACACATAATAATCGTTGCACATAAAAGAAAAATTAAACAGTTTGTCGCACGTGAAATCCAAATTATGGTGATTTCATATTTTATTAAGGATATTATAAAAGAAATGATACAATATTGAAATGAAAGCGATTTGATTTGGTTATCATAACAGAAAAATACAGGATTCAATGACGCATAAAAAATTACAGGATTCATTCAACCAGGAATAAAAGAGTATTAGGGAAAAGGAGATGGTTAGGAAGCGAACCAGCGCGTGACGTTCACCGGCTTGAAAGGAAAGGCGTTGGTGGTTCATGGCCTGCGTATAAAGCTGGGAGAGGGAGTTCGCGGCGCTGCAAAAACTCGTGTACATGGTGCGATCAACCTCGTCAAGGCGCGTGGCGTCGGATTTTCTCTTCTTCGTCATTATTATTTATATTGACAAAAAATAAAAACGATACGACAGAGAGAAAGCTAAGGAGGTTTTTATTTTTTTAAAAAAAGAAGAAAAATCGATGCAGATTTACATGAATGCGAGAAGAAGGAGAATTGTAGATTAGGGTGAAGGGAATTTGGGGATGTTTAGAGTTTGAAAGAAAGAGACGATTCTGATTGAAGAATGAAGCATACGATACTACCCATTTAATTGAGCTCTCCCATGGGCCCTTATGGGCCGCCTTTCTTTTCTTTTTCATTTTAACTCGGATAAAATATATGAAGGTAAATGACATGTTTACTCACTAAATTTTAATATCTCTCTTATTTTACTCACCTTACTTTCAGTTTTTTTAATTTGTTCACTAAATTTTAGATATTGAATTTTCTTGGTCATTCTGCTGTTAAATAATTAACGATGTTATGACATGGCAACTAGTACTAAAATGACGTAGTTTGAATCATTAAAAAATCAAATTTGGATCAAAACGACGCTATTTTGGTCTAAATAAAAAATTAAATTTCTTTTTTGTTCATTTTATCCCTTTTCTTTCAATTCCTCCATTCCTCTCTCTCAAAAATCTTGAATCATGTCTAGGGCTGTAAATGAGACGAGACAGATCGCGAGCTACTCGAGATCGACTCGATCTTGGCTCGATAAATACTCAGATTGAATGGACTCGACTCGACTCGAGCTCGAACTCGACTCGATTTCTTAACGAGCCGAAACGAGCTACTCGATATTCGACTCGAAAAGCTCATGAGCAGCTCGAAAAAATATTATATTATAATTTTATATTTTTTAAAATTACATTATTAAAAATATATTAAAAATACATTATTGATGAATAAATATTCTTGAATTGAAAATGGTTAAAAATTATTTTTGAATAAATATTCTTATATTTATTTTAAATTGATAAAAAAAATTATTTATCTAATATTTAATATATTTCTAATGATAATATTTGTAATAACTAATTTTTTAAATTGTTGTTATATTTTGAGGTTTTGGGTTCAAATATCATAAATGTCAAGGGTTTGAGCATTTAATATCAAGATACTATATTGTACTTACCTCATAACTAATTATGTGATAAGGTTTAGGGTTTAGGATTTAGAGTTTATGTGATAGGATTTAAGGTTTAAAGTTTAGAGTTTAGGGTTTATGTGTTAGGGTTTAAGTTATGCCATGAAGGTAACATACAAATTATGCAAAATGATGTTATGTGGCTCATAAATAAATTATTCACATACTTATACATAAACATATCAACATGCAAAATAAATATACACAACTAATTAAAGAAAACAATCCTAAACAGAGACTAAATTAAGAAAAATCTAAATGTGAGGACTAATTTAAGCTAAAATTTAAACAATTGAGGGACTGTTTTGTACAAAACACATAAATCTATAGAGCCTAAAGCTAATTTACCCCTAAGGTTATGGTGGCTAAACGATAATTAACCCCAAAATTAATTAGGGTTTAGAACCTAAATTAAAACAAACCTAAACTAAATATTCAATTCAGCCTCTCAAGCCTCACGCCCTAACCTTCTCCAACTCTCCCCCTCTCATTCTCATGCAAACCAGAAAACAGTGTCGCAGGCCCGCAGCTGCCGCTCCTCTCGCCTTTCTTCAACGGAGTTCTACACTTCAACTTCTATCATTTTTTCCTCGCTCAACCCTAACAGAGACCCACAGCCTCTGTGGCTTCAATCGCCTAGTGCTCTGATGTGGAGCTTAAACTTCTCCTAAACATATTTCGGTGACAACCTTCATAAAAAACATCCCCAAAACCGTAAACTTAAACCCATAATACCCTCGTAAATACCCAGCTTCACCACTCCGTAACCATGCCAGACCACGGCCACCGCGGCCTTCGCCGTCCCCACGGGCTTTGATGAAGAGTCCTAATGCCTGGACCACTTTTTCCTTGCTGGCCTAGGCAAGAAACCCAAACTTTACTGCACATTAATGTATGCTCTAGATATGATATGTTCTCCTCAGTACACGATCTATGCCCTTCGAAAATCTTGGTGAACTTTTTTTCATTCTTGCGTATCTTTACCTGTATCTAAAACTTAAAAGAGAAAATCTTTCGCATGTGACAACATTTAGGTTTTTCAAAGTGGAGATCTCGCTGCTGCTGAAGTTGTGTTGTCGAACATGGCTGTTGCACTTGACCGTGTGCTTTTGGATGTAGAGGTAATTGTTCTAAAATGCTCTTTCAAGATGAATCTATAGTTTGTAACTTTTATGAACTTCTTTTTTTAGATACTGCATTTCAATTATAAGTTTTTATGAACTTCTACATGAAATATGACGGTAGTTTTTCAAGATCCTTTTTTATTTCAACCCTACCACAAAGCTTTGTGGGAGCCATTTGACTACTACAAGTTTGGTCAAAATTATATTCGACCTTTGATTGATTTAAGGTGAGTTTGATTTAAGGTGAGTGGACAAATACCACACTGTCTTTATAGTGGTCTTTAGTTATGTTGATTAGGTTGCAGAAAACTCCACTGATAATGAATATGGTTTGTCAAGAAATATATGGGTTGTTCAATTTCATAACTCTATTAAGGTGAACCAATACATTAGATTTTCACGTTAGTGATTAGGACATATGTGAATGCCACAAGTAAGGTTATATAAATTTTTGATTAATTATATCTTTGAATACAATCTAAGGTTGAAATTGTTTTATATTTGTATTTCTATGGTGGTCATTCGTTGTATATTTCAAAATTTTCACTCCCCTTCTTTCCCAGAAACATATATTTACAGTCCCATAGATACAATTTAATTCTTATCAACTGCTGCATAAGCGGTTAATTGTATTAGTATTGGTTTCGGTGTTTGGTTCTTGTCCTTGTTTTTGCTTGGTGCTGTCCCTTGTTTGTGCTTGGTGCTCTGTCCCTTTTTGTGTGTGTCAGGATTCGAGCATGGCCAGCATGGGCGACGACAGCATTGGTTTTGGTGGATGGCAGACCAGCATGGGTCTTCCTCGGTGGGTTCACGTGGGTGGTGCACTATCTCGGGCTTCCTCGTCGATTTACACCACATGTTAATATATTAAACATGAGTAATAATAATAATTATTATTATTATAAAAAACTTCAAAAGTTTCATACATTCATATTATATGTATTGGTAATGGTTGATTAAAGGGAAAATTATTTATATATTTTAAATGTAATATAAGATTTTTGTAGGATCAAATTCGAGTTTGAGTTCGAGTTTTAATCGAGTTCGAGCTTGAATCGAGCTTGAATCGAGCTCAAAATCGAGCTCGAATGAGCTCAAAATCGAGCTTGAATCGAGCTCAAAATCGAGCTTCAATTGAGCTCGAGTCTCGAGCTTCAATCGAGCTCTTGAATTTTTTTTTGAGTTCGAGCCTTTTCGAGTTCGAGTCGAGTTTTAATATTATCTTTCGAGTTCGAGTCGATCTTGAAAATTTAGGCTCGCGATTTTCGAGTCGAGTCGAGCCTACATTTAAGGTTTTCGAGTTCGAGTCGAGCTCGGCAATACTCGAGCTCGACTCGGCTCGTTTACACCCCTACTCACGTCATTTCCCTCATTTCTCTCCTCTCATTTTCTTTATTCAACATGAACCACCCCCAATTCTGATCCCCATTTCTCTCTTCCCATTTACCCCATTTCTTTCTTCCTTTCACCGTTGTGTCCTCACCATGTGGAATGATCGTCTGACTAGCGGAGATGTCGCAGTTAAAAAAACGATGGTAAAGTTCTTAACTTTTTTGCTTTCTTTTGTTTTCCTCTCTTTTACGCTTAGTTCCGATTTTCCATTATTCTTCTTCTTTTTACTTCTCACCATCACCATTTCACATCGCCGTTGGCCATCACGAATGCTAAACGACAGAGGGGAAAACGTTCATTCCCTTATTTATTTATCTTTTTTTTCAATGCTTGTTGTGTTTTAGTGAATGTTTTTAGTTTAATGACTGAGTTTGTTGTGTTTTTGATGTTGATAGAGATGTTAAAGTTGAAAAAAAAATATTGAAATTGAGATAGTGAGTTTGATTGAGAGATAATGACAATGATGAAACAATTTTGGTGGTTTAGCGCAAATTGATTAGGATGATTGTGGTTCTAAAAGGGACGATTAAGATGGTGGTCGGAGAAGGAGGATGTGGGGGTGAGATGGGGTGGGATGGGAGTGGGAGAGGGAGGGTGGAGAGATTAAGATTTTTTATTTAAATATTACATGTCATATTTTAATATTAATAAATATATATATAATCATTATATTTTAAAAAAGTCACATCATTCGATTGTTACTGAGTAAACGATCAAGTGACCAAAAAAGTTCAATATCTAAATTTTAGTGAGCGAATTGAAAAATTGAAAGTACAATGAGTAAAATAGGAGATAAAATAAAGTTCTGTGAGTAAGCGTATAATTTACCCAATACATAAATAATCTTTAAATTATGTTAAAATGATTTTTATAATCATCATACTTTAATAGTTCTAAAATAAACATAAAATTTTTAATTTTATTATAAAGATAAGTACCCATTGAATTTATTAAATAATTTTAATAGTTAAAGCGAGTTTATATGGTCTATGTGTTCATTGTTAATTGATTAAGAGATTTTTGAACATATAATATCTTATAATCACTCCCAACTAATAAGAAAATAAGCAGAAGTGCATCCAATTAATAATACTTTTAAAAGGCATGTCTAACTAAACACGCTTTTTGTCTACGTGACATGTCAAGCCAAAAAAATAAATATTTAATTTGAATTAATTAAAATGTGTGACGAACGTAGTATATCTTACTAGGTTTTTTTAAATTTTTAATATATTTTAAATTAATTTTAATTGTTATTAACAATTTTGTTATCAATTTTATTTTATTTTTTTTATTTTATTAACAATTTTATCATGCTCATATTTTTATATTTCTTTATTTATACTTAGTTTTGATGATACCTGATTTAAGTAATTATGTTATTCAAGAAAAGATTCAAAATATTGATCTTTAACATTGTTGGTGCCATAATGTATTGATGGTGACTTGATTTGTTGACGCCCTTCAATCGTACGGTGATGAGTGATGTATACAGAGTAACAAGCCCATATGTGTTTAATCAATAATCTCGAAGTTAAATGAGACATTAAAAAATCTA